CAGTTGGGGGCAGTTGCCCCCACTGTAGATCCGCCACTGCTATTAAGTGTCTAGAATCACTTTATTTTACCAATTTTGCAACCGAATGGTTGCTGAGAAAAAAGAAGGTCGTCCAGAGGAAGATAATTTGGAACTTAAGAAGGGTAAAGTCATGGATGAGTATTTTTCTTGATTTTTGACTTGTATATGTGTAATAGATAGTTGTTTATTAACAGGACAGACTATTCACATGCGCATTTATCTTCAAAAAATTGAAAGTTGTTATTTATTGGAGTGATATGAAATAAAATTAATATTTTAAAATATAATATGAAAAATTTTATAATTGAGAGTGTAAAATAAAACAAAGGTAATAGTTCAAGAAGGTAAAGTATAATTTAATGAGTAAATAATTATACTTTACCCATTTGAACTATTATTTTTATTTTACTTTGTACTCTCAACTATAAAATTTTTCACATTATACAATAAAATATTAAATTTATTTCATATTACTTCAATAAAATAACAAACTTAAAAATCTGTCAAATGAGAGAGAAAAGTTCTAAAGAGCTTCTTGTCAAGAGCCTAAAACTATTTTATTTTACCAATATTTTTTGGAAAGAAAAAGAAGGTTGGCCAGAGAAAGACAATTTGAAGTTTAGCAAGGACAAAATCATGGATGAATATTTTTCTTAATTTTTGCCCTGTACATGTGCAATAGATAGTACAAGCCACTCACATGCCATTTACCGTAAAAAAAACTAACAATTGTTATCTATTGGAGTAATATGAAATAAAATTGATAATTTAGGGTACAATAAAAAATTTTATAATTAAAGGTACAAAGTGAAACAAAAGGAATAATTTATGAGGGCAAAGTATAATTTACCCTAATTTAATCCTTCAAAATTTAAACTTAAGTTGTAACTATCTATATGTTATTCTTATTGTTGTCGTCGTTTCTTCGACAATTGCTTAGTAAATCTGTCAGTCTGTCAGATACGAAGGTCCATAATACCACACAGCTACTGCCGGATGGAAGAGAAACATCCAAAACGATAGCGAATAACAAGCGTCCCTCCTAAGTATGCATGCCCTATATTTTTTAGCCCTCTTTACTTTTATTTTGATTTCTATGGTTCATTGATTTGATAGCAAGTTGATTTTTATTTTTATTTTATGGAAAAAAAATAAAAAATAAAAAGACGTTTGGAAGTTGTTTTTATTTTTTTTACTACTCTATTTTAAAAATAAGGTCAAACTATAGAAACATTAAAAAATATGTTTTTGAAAACATCCAAAAAAAAAACAGGCGCAGGCTAGGAGCGCAACTTTAATGACGTCTAACCTTCGAGTCCTATTAATAACAAACAAATAAATTTTTTACTTGAGTATAAAAACCCTTCATTTCCCTTTTCCATTTTCTCGTCTCTCTCTCTCTCTCTCTTCTATCGATGTTTTTGTGATTTTAGGTGGTTGTTAATAGTGGTTTTCGGTGGGGGTTTTTCAGGGAGTTTGGAGGTGGGTTTCAAGGGTGTGTTTGGAGTGGGTTTTCGGGGGTTCTGGGGATTGGGGATGGGGATGGGGATGGGTTTTAGGTGTGACGTGGGGGTTTCAAGGGGTGTTTGGAGTGGATTTTTGGGGGTGGCGTGAGGTTTTCAGAGGGGTATTGAGGGTGGATTTTCGGTAGGGTTTGGGGGGTGAGGGTTTTGATGGTATTGGGTGGTTGTTGGTGGAAATGGGTTTTCAATGTGTTGGGTGGTGGATTCCAGGGGATTTGTGGATGGGTTTACGGTGGGGTTAGATGGTTGTTGGTGGTGGATTTAGGTGGTAGATTTTGTGTGACAACCCGTATATAAAATAATTACTAAAACAATAATTAGGTTATTAATTATGATTATATATAATTGAGATTTTTTTTTAAGAACAAATGAACTTCAAATATAGACTTTTCACGCGAAAACAAGTCAAATGACTATAATTTAGGTCAAACTTTTGTATCATATAATAAATATAAATATCTATACATATATCTATATATATGTTTGTGAAAGGACTAGTGTCCTGTTGAAGATATTTTTTTCATACAAGATTTGTAAAGATTTGAAAAACGTGCATTCAAGAAAAAAAAGGGAGATGCTTGGGGACCAAGCAAATATTGGCTATAAATAGCCAAGCCCAAGCCTTGATCGGCACAAAGAGAAGGAAAAAGAGAGAGAAGGGAAAAGAAGAAGGAGAGAGAGATAGAAGGTGTAGAAGAAAAAAAAAATTATGAGATCTTGGGGTCAAAAATTGAGCAGTGATTTTATTTTATATTGCTATCAAATTTGACTATTTGATTCGGGATATTTCGAATTTCGCATCTATTGAAGTCATTGATGGATTTGAGGTATGAGGTAGTATACAATATGCTCCTGTCTTTTAAATCTCTTTGCAAAGAGTGTCATTTCATTATCTAAAATTTTGTATTTCTATTGATTATTCTNGATATGGGGTAGTATACAATATGTTTCTGTCTTTTAAATCTCTTTGCAAAGAGTGTCATTTCATTATCTGAAATTTTGTATTTATATTGATTATTCTGATTTATATGAAATTCTGTCAATGTTATCGGTTGACCAGTACGTGTGTACGTTAGGCAAAATATTTTGGGATTGATTGGTACATGTACGAAGTGTACTTGGGGGCATAATTGTTTAAATATGATTATGGTCTTGTGGGGTGCGATTATGATTACAGCCTTGAAGGGTGTAATGGTTTAATATGAGTATGAATTTTAAATGCCTAAGTATTACTTGTCATCTCACCAAGAAGACCCGAATATGAGGCTAAGTTTGATAGATATTGAACTATGTGACTTATCGAATTGGATTCTCGATTCTTTTATCTATGATTGTCTATCGATTGAATTATTTGATATTTGATCATTCATATTCTTTTCTAGTTGTGCATATTGTTTCCTGTCATATTATATACTTCTCCGCCTTTAATATTTTTCAAAATTATCTCGGAGGGAAGGACCAGAGGTGATATTTGAAGAATCGAAAACAGACGAATCTAAATATAATTTTTAACTTTGTGGGTTTATTGGGATAATGTATAATTTGAACAAATTCGTTTTTATATTGAAGAAATTATTTTATTGAGAAAATTATTTTATTGGTATTTGGAGATCAAAATTGTGATTATAAATTTATTGAGACAATTAGAGTTTTGACCCTTTATTCGGAGATTTATTTGTGATTTATCGTGATCGATCGATTTAATCAAATAACAGGTCTGGGAAACCGGGGCATTACATTTTCGATAAAATACCAAACATACTTTTTATTTTTTTATTTATAATTTTTTAAATATAAATAATTATCAAACATATTTTATATTATTAAATTTTTATCACAAGAAAAAAAATTAGTTTTTATATATATAAAAAAATATAAAAACGAAAACATCAACAAACGCACCCTTAGTCTCTTTCGAGGGATGGAGTATGTGTACTGTATACCGTATACTGTATACCGCTCCTTAATCACTTCGCCGAAATGTACTAGATATGCTTAAAATGAAGTTTAAGTAATCAGTATGTACAGTTTGTATGCTGGGTGTTTGATCAATTGCTTCATAGAAGGTTGGGTCTGTTTAGTTAAAAAGAAGATAACGGTGAAAAGTGAAAATGATAATAAATATAGTGATAAAAAAATGATAGAAAATATATTTTCATTCATGTAATTGATTAGAATGAAAAATTTACGGAAATATTTTTTAAAAAAATCATTCTATTATTTGAAAGAAAGTAAAGTTATAATTTTTTTTTTATAATTGTCTAAATTATCCTTAATCATATTAAATTGGTCTAAAAAAGAAAAAAAAATTTAATTATAGTTGAAAGTTAAATTGTTTTTAAAAAGTGGCTCGAAACATAATTGTAAGACAATCACCAATAAAATATTTTAAGAAAAATAAAGGAAAAATAGAAAGTTAGTTATATATCACAATTTTTTTATATTTTTTTTGCATTTTTTACAAAAAAAAAAAATTAATTATTTGTGAAAAAATTCAAGCATAAAAAAAAATTATTTGTTCTATCATTTTTTTCATGCTAACTATATACATAAAAATTTTAAAAATATTTTATTTCTTACATTTTTTTACCATTCTTCTATTAAACAAAAGAACTGTAGGCAAATTCACACCGTCACACGCACATAAAAAACTACTTCATAGAAAGCTAGGCATTTTGGACATCCACTTGGTCATTTCACGCACTCCCTACCAGCTCTCCTATTTTGTCACACACGCCCATTATGTCAGAGGCCATGCCACCTCTCTGTCCCTGTCCCCATCTCTTCCCTTTCTCTCTTCTCCCTCCTTCACAGACTCTCTCTCTCTCACACACGCCACCTCCACAGCGCCACCAGGTATTTCTCTCCATTCCCTTATCTCCCCCCCTCTCTCTCTCTCACACACACACACGTGTTTGGACAGGGTGGTTGTTGGTTATTGTTCGGTAAATAGTATTGAACATATCTATTGGCTTTTTCCTGTAGAATGCACTGAGGCAACAAAGATACGTGCGGGAAGTCACAATACAGTACAATCTATGCAATGAGCCTTGGTATTCTTTCGATGATTCTCATTACTGACTTTTCTTATTAATTTCTGGATACATGAAAGGTCTTTTTTTACTGTTACCTATTTGAACCATCCTGCATTATGAGCAGAAGTGCTTTCGGATAAAATAATGATGACAACTTGCAAGATGTGGAATGATTAATAATCTTATCCTACCGATATGACCACCTCTCTTTCCTTGGAAGCACAGGCAGTCGAACATGTAGTATGGCGGTGTATATTTATTAAAAGACACAGATTGTGGAGTATATAATGGGTACAATGATGACAACGATAACTTGCAAGATGTGGAATGATTAATAATCTTATACTACCGATATGACCACCTCTCTTTCCTTGGAAGCACAGGCAATCGAATTTGTAGTATGGCGGTGTATATTATTATTAAAAGACATAGATTGTGGAGTATATAATGGGTACAACGCACTAATATGAGTGTTGAGATGTTGGATTTGGTTTTGAACATAGATTTTGATGTATGTAATCCGTTGAAGTTTGAATCTGGATAGATTTTTAATGCTTGGAGTCGGATCAGCATCAATGGGCTGAGTACTGGGTTGGTCTCCCATTTTCTTTTGATTACTTATTTGTGCGTCTAGTTATATCTGCCTTCCTCTTATTTTGATCATAATTCTTGAAGTTTTGATGGGAAAAAGGGATAAAAAAAATCCCATATGGTTTGGTTTGAGTGGCTTGCTTATAAATCTTCACATCAATGCTTTGTTCTAGTTTTCTCAAACAAATAATTTTACTACTGTCCATTTAAGAATTCATGACATTACAGAAAGTAAAAGTAAAAGTAAAAACTTTTGAATAAAATAAACATGCTGAAGGATATAGGGACTTGTACACACACATGTATGCACCTGCATAAAGTGAATATGGTCAATCTTCTACACATAATGTTACAGATTTGAATTTGCAACAATACTAGCGGTTTCATCATGAGTTCAATCACATGAGGATGTAAGTTGTGATTTATGCCCTTGTTTTTTGCCACCAAATCTTGTAACTGCCGGGTGTTCTCTAAATGAAGAATCCTGGCTTTACCTCTAAAATAATCATTTGTTAAGAATATCTTTTTAATAGGGGTTTTAATCTAGCCAAGCCTCCTTAGCTCCAATGTGCTTAGTCTCAGCCTGGGTTTATGTCGTAGGCTTGATCTCTATCACTGAGCTTTGGTGTTTGTTTAGGCTTGAATCTGCTTAAATATGAAATATTCGAGCTCAGCTGGGCTCGGTTCATTTTTCAGCCGAACTTCTTAACTTTGGCGTCTCATAGACGTACTAATAATATCCTTGACTTTCTCTGCATATTGACATTTGTCATTACAAGCATCTTAATTTTTACTGACTAATTCACACAACAGTTGAAGTGAAAGATTAGAGGTATGGGCATTCATACGACACATGCAAGTTCTAATTTTGAATTGGTTTAAGGTTTGGTGAAACATAGCCATAAGTTGTCCTCATTTTTAACACATTGTTTGCTATTATGATTTCTTTGAGGTGTTCTTTCAAATTTAAGTCTACTTCATCCATGTGCTTGTCTAATTCTCCAGGCTCAAATACAGTATAAGCGTTGTTGCTGACAGAGGTCTGAAAAAGCCTCTTTACACATCAGCACGATTGAAAAAGGGAGAAGTTTTGTATCTTGAAACTCACTCGTGCAGGTATTTAGGAGACTGAAATGATTGTTTGGCAGTGATGTTTATTTTCTGGCATATTATAATCCATTATCCATCTCTGGAAATAAAACGATCTTCACCTAGGGCTTTCTTTCTTTCTAGTGTGTCTATCTCTCTATTATTAAGTCTTTTCCTATCCTCCCAGTAACCCCTTAGACAGGCATTCTGCTATCAGCCGTTTGGCTGTGATGTTTGCTTTCTGGACTGTCTTGTCATATTGTAATCCGTTATCCATCTTTGGAAACAAAACGATCTGGATGGCCTATTTTTTCTCAAACTACACAAGTTCCCGAGATGCTTGATAACAAGCCACAATTGTCGCCCATGAACTAAATAATATTGACAATAACAGCAAATATTGATTTTTTGCATTCATTTCTCTTTTGATAATGTCAAAAAATTTCTCTGTTTTTATGTTTTGGTCTCTTTCCATACCCAAACTACATTTTGCTTAATATTTTTACCTGATATTTTAGACTTTAGAGGACCTAATTTTGTGAAAATTATTGTTAATTGCCATAATTTGGTAGCCCTGATACTAAGGACCTTTTTGTTTCAATCATATGATAAGATGAGATGATTTAGGGAATGCATACAATGAACGCATGCAGCTAAAGCTGTGATGGAGTTTGTGCTGCCCTCTCAGATCTTTTATGAAACTTTTTCCCAAAATTTCGATATTTCTGTCAGATTTAAGGACCTACATTTTGAGCTATGTATGTGAATTGGGATATGTCAACTTCTATGCCAATCTCTGAATTTAAGTTAGCTGAAGGTATGAGCTTTGCTTTAATGGAGAGAAGATGGTCAAGGCTACGGCAGCACCTCAGCCATATGAACCAGAGACACAGAAATCTCAAAATCGCAATTTGCATTCTACAGCTGGTGAAAGAAGTGTGACTGAAGGTGACAGCATTGTGATGGATGTATTCCGATGGTCTCGTTGTAAGAAGCCCCTTCCTCAAAGACTCATGCGTTCAATTGGGATCCCACTGCCTTTGGAACATTTGGAAGTAAGTTATCTCTACTGTTATTGTGAGAGCTAATTCTTTGTCTGTCTGTTCCTTCCCCCCCAACCCCCCCTCCTTTTTGGAAAAGTAAGAATGTGATACAAACAGTTGACCACATGAACTTTATACCTCTGTGTATCAGCACACTACAACCAACATCATTTAATATGAAGTGGCTGACCAATATAAAATGAATATTCATTGAGGGGGGTAATGATATAAGTGGACCAAACTATGGTTACCACAATTCACTAAACCCTTAATGACGCACGATTTGGGTACATCGATCTCAAACGAGGTGGGTTCGCGATCCAGATCACCAAAATGAACGACCCCAAATTGTAATACTAACCTTAAATTAATTCGCTTTAGAACATGTAGCATAAATATAAAATACATATTAATTGACTACATGTATATAGATTTATAATTATATATTGTTTTAGATAATAAAAAATCAAGCACAACTATAAGATAAATGGTAATTAACTTAATGTTTATGAATGTTTTGTAATATATAATGTTGTATATTAGTGAAAACGATTTACATAGAGTTCAAAACGAATTGCGACTTAAAATACCGTTCCAGCTAAACCTACCCCTATTGTATCGCGTACATAAGAAAGTGTCGTACCATGTATCCGTATCTGTACCACGTACCAAAGCGACCCACGATCCAGGTAACATTAGAACAAACGGAAATTTTAGGAAAATGATCTTTTAGATCTCTTTCCTTTTCTTATTTTACAATTCTCTGCTTTTGTATCGTAATCTTTTTTCTATTACTCTAGATCGCATATAGTGTAATTGTATATTTATATTGCCCAAGTAGATTATTTTGAGCCACGCATACATTGCCTTGGGCTAAGCTAAAAAAAATATTATTTCGAAAACTAGTCAATGATGGCCCTCCATGGATTCACATGGCGATATGGGTTACAATAGGTAAATGATTCCGTGACACATAACATCAGGGTCATACATGGTATTAATTTCAGTCTCTAAACACTAGCAAGTAATAGAGGCACAATTTTACATGACACAATATGAGCAAGAAATATCTAACAAACCCCAATCCTATCTTATAGATTTTGATCCAGATCCAACGGATATCATTTATGAAATAAAAATCTGAACTTATTAATATCAAAAATCTAATTTTATTTCAGACATAGCTTCAGATCAATGTCATTAGCAACAATTTCAACTCAAATTAATTGCATAAACGATTAATTGCTGGTGAATTTCAACTCAGTTTTAACAAATAATAAATCTTGAAAAAATTCAACAATTTCAGCTCCATTATGTCTCAATTTCACCGGGTGTTCAAATATGAGCTCAATTTCACCTCAAATTGATCAAAAGTTTACAAAAAATACAAAGAAAAATCCTATTGTTGTGGAGCCACATATAGAACTGAGGGCAGATGTCAGATGTGTTTGGAGGTGGTGGATTGGAGTTAGGAGTTAAGGAGTAAGGGAGGGTGGACGGTGTAGGTGACAAGAGAAAGGGGGAGAGAAGAGGGGCCACTATGGAGGAGTTTGGGATGAGAAGTATGTCGCTAGGGTGGTGGGAGAAATGAGAGGGGAAAAAAGGGATTAAGGGAGAGGCATATATAGGAAGGT